CAGGGGTAAAAAAGGCTCAGCAATACAAAGAAATTCTTAAAATATTAGACTGATGCTGGGTGTTCGGTGCATTGTGATACCTCAACAGATGCTGATCAAATGGTAAATAAGTTCTTTTACTACTGTTATCACCTTCTTGGTGATAAGCATTTGCATCACAGCAAAATTCCCACCTTTGCTTTCTGTGAATACTAAGCTTACTAAACTTAAACTCACCGAAATAGATCTCTTTTCCAACTATATGAAAGTAGTATTACACGAGGCACTGCTTCTTCCAATAAATCCCAAGCCATTCACCTCCTTTCATGGCACAGTTTCAAGATGATAGCTCACTTTCAGAAGAAAGGCATCGACTATGCCCCATTTTCACACGATGATAATAAATTTTGGAGTTTTAAGCCTCTGTTTACTAACGCTGAGACAATACAGCACTATTTTATCACTAAAAGTAAAAAAAAAAAAAAAAAAAAAAATTTCCCAGCATTTTTTCTTATATCCATTTCCATGATAGTATTTCCCCTGCAAATACACTAGATTCTAAAGCTACTACAGTCCAGCTCACATTTAACTTTAAATAACATAAGAGTGACTAATCCACCAATACGACCCCCAGCTTTTCTAGGCACTGCTGCTTCAGCCACGACCCATTAAGAACTCCAGTCACACAGATGGTGATGCTCAGGATGAAACAAAATAAATTGTTCTCCTCCAAAGTAGGAGACGGAAGCATAATGAAAAATTAAGAATTTGTCTAAGTTCATAGATAAAAATAGAAGCAGCTAATGAATATTTTAAAACAAGCAGAAACACAACATACACACAACCATAAGGAATTTACTGCAAAAACATGCCGCTCCTTCGGCCAAAGATTTTATCAAATATATTCCAAAAATTATTTGTGAGATTACAGACATAGGCTGGCTCTTTATACGAGTACACATCTCAGCAGATACTGACATATGAAATAGCAAGCCACCCTTCAAAGTCACTGTCTTTAAAATAAGTTAGTTGGCTTTAACATAAGATCCACATACTAGCACAATTCTACAATCTCCACCAGCCTGCCTTCTAACTTCTGAGTTAGAAGTTAGTTAATAACTTGGATTTCTGTTTACCTTTCTGTCATCTACCCATGAACTGTCAGAGTCTGTTCCATTTGGCCAACGGATCTTTTTACCTCCCCTCCACCCTTTTTACCACTTTGTTTGGCAGCAATACCTGTTTCCAACTCGAAGGCCAAAAAACCACGTGTCACATTCAACATGATTGCCACGTATGCAGGTCACTTTTCTAGTTACAGGCACCATTTAGTGCAGTGCACTAACCCTGAGAAATGAAATCGTACTTTAAGATACACATTTCCTACACATGTTAAACAGTGCTGCTAAAAACAGCTTCCTTCATATATATATATATATATATACATCTCCTTCCTATCTAGCAGCTGCTCTCCTGTCTCTGTCACTGTAATAAATAATAGCTCACTGGGTTGCTATTAGGGCATTCAGGACTTCTTTGCATGCTGTCAATCAGGATGCCATCAGCCTTCACCCTACTGACTTATGTCAATTCCCACTCTTCTGCCCTTATCTTTAGAGAAGCTACTGAAACATCTACATTTCATTTTCCCTCTTAACATTCCTTAGCTGAGCTCCATAAACAAGAGTTTCAACAGCAGTGAGACAATCTACCTACTGATCAATGCTGGCTTAATGTCACCTTGTATTTTTATTGCTCACTTTCATCTGTTGTCTAAAACGTTACCTCTTAAAAAACTCCAGCTTTTAAAAATTCATGTACTAAGCATTTCTATTGGTTCTCTTATATTTTCTTCCATTTTTTATTTTTCTGCAAGATCTCCTTCACCAAACAGGTCATACAGTACGTTTTTATTCACCGACCCCATCCTTTAAACCTGCACATGTTTTGTTTTAGAATCACATTTCCACCACACTGTCCTTATTTTCTTCTGAGAAGACCATACAGTATACATCTCACTTACCCACCTTGTTCCATTCCTCCTTTCATTTACACAAAAGTTGAAAACTTCATTAATCCCTCTCAGAAGTAAGAGCCATTCATAATAGCCAAACATTTCTGCAGCAGGAGACAGAAGGCTGCTGGATTTATAATATCCCTAATCTTCTGCTCTATGCTGTGAGTCAACATTCAGTTAAAGAGCTTTTGATTATACTTGACAGTCTTCTCTCTTCTTAGCTGAAGGACGTTTTTTAAACCATTTCTGAATTGGAAATGCTCTTAAAAAATGAAGAATCAGCAAAAAACGCCTTTAGCCTCTTTCTTCTATTCTTAAATGTTAAGGAATCCCACAAAGCAGGAATGCAGAAAGAACACTCCATTTCAGTATTTTTGCTAGTGCCAAAGTAGTCCACCAAAGCAATGCCATCCCGCAGGCTGGCTCTGGGCTCCACTTGTTATGCCAAGTCCTTGGTTAACCTCCACACCACCAGTTTAACCCCATCAGAACTCAGATGGTGTCAATACTGCCCATATTGAATAGAATGATTAATACTAGTACTGATTAATACCAGTTCTGACAGTTTAAACTATAAATTTATAACGATAACGCTAAAGGAATTAAAGGCAGTGGTGCCATCTGTTGCAGATCTATGAAAATACTGTATTTGTTCATATTGAGCTCATGATCAGAAAGTCCACACCACCATCAGGTTTCTTAAAAGAAAAAAAGAAATCACAAACAAAAAAATGCATGCACTCATTAATGTGGCTTGCAGATGATTTTTCAAGCTCCCATAACTTCCGTTAAGTCTGGTTCAACAAAAAACAAGTCATGGGCTACACCTGACAAAAGACGAATGGCTTTACAGTGATAATCAATCCAGTTCTGGCTATATGCTGCACGTGACTTCTTTCGGTTTTAAACAGGCATACACAAACCCTAAAGATCAAAAGGCACAGTATTTTCTTAACTATGTCTTTGCATGACATAGTAACAATGATTCCAAAGGCAACCAATTCAAAGGCAGAATTTTATCATTGCAGTTATATATACACTGCGATTTCTACCTTTGTTTCCTCAAGAACTGCATTACAAGCAGTTACAGGTTGTTTTTTTTAAACTGATCTGGGGCTCAGACAGCTCTTTGGAAGATCCACAGGCACCGTGTACCAAAGAAACCAGTTTGAGTTCGCTTTGGAATGTCAGCTCTCCTTAGAGTCACCAAGGTTGTCCACTGTCCCAAAGCAGCACTGATTTTTCACAAGATCATTCTGGTAGCAAGTGAGGAAGTAACAAAGGTAATAATGAAATAAGAAATGAAAAGCAGAAGCAAAACCAGTAGTTTCTAGGGAACAATTCTAATTGATCAAACAATGTGGTTAACAGAACCGAAGTCTCAGCGTGTAGTTAAGTTTTCAAACAAATAACCTTATAGGTTCCTGAAAAGTTTCTGTAGTGTGTTTTTTGGTGGTTTTTTTTTTCCATTTATCTGATGATAACTGCTAAAAGTGAAGGCATAACCGTTAACACACGCTCACACCAGGCTTAAGTTCAAAAAGCTGCATTTCATCAGACAGCTTTGAGCTCTAATGCTGCAAGTGACAAACATCAACACCAAACTAGGGAGAACTCCCAAAAGCTGCTCCTTCAGCCTACCAATCCCATTTGGGATAGGCTCTACTTGATAATTTCAAGTGCATACCAACAAAAACATTCTTATTTAGGGCTGTATGCAAATAAACACATAACTGTATTACTTAAGTCCTAGTAGGGAAGAATATATGTCTGAAACCAGTACTGAACTGAAAGCTGTTGACCAAGGGAAGTTCCATTTCCCAGATGTCTCCAGAACTGGAATTTGTAGATTAAGCATGCTTTGCTCTGTTTTCTTTCCCACCTCTACATGAAACTGCAATATACACCTAACCTGCATCTCAACAAAGGGCTGTCAGTTTCCAGCAAGAACCCCACTACATATTTTGGGACAAGGCTGGAGATTTTTGCAGTCATTTAAAAAACAAGATGGTGATTATTAATTTATGAATGGCAAAACCACTTAACCTAATGAAGGAAGTCCAATTTACTCCTTGTGGGTAGTGTTTAAAGGCCAAGATCAAACAATACACTTAACCTAAAGGACACCTTTTGATAAAAATCAAACAAAGAAGCCCACACCTGGAAAAAAAAAAAAAAAAAAAGAGAAGCTTCTGCACTTCTCAAGTGAGATCTATAGAAGCAAATGTTACAGATAAACAAGAAAAGAATTTGTAGAAGATACCATTACTTATTCTCTTTGTACTATAGGAAGAACTAAACTGCATTTTGAACACAGGAACAGGAACCATGCCCATTGTACTCCCAAGCATTATTCTACAACACAAGAACACTGCATATCTAGGATTCCTGAACTGCTCCTAGATTCATATCAGTGAGAGAAAGAACAACCACAGAGAGGGCAGAGCAAGAAAAACAGTAAGGTTTTCCTTAATTAGCACCCTGAAAGAAAAGAAAAGAAAAAAGATACCTACAGCAACCTATGACATCAGCCAACACGAGAGCTGGGACCTTCCTCATCACCTGCAGCGCTGCAATCAGCTCTACACCACACAACCAGCTGGCAGCAAGGCAGCACTACGGAACAGGGCAGCACGCACCAAGGATGGAACAAAACCTTTAAGGCTGTGGCAGGTGCACAGCGATGCAGTACTCTGCTATGAAGGGGGGGTTCTGAAGCTGCAAGTTCCCTTCGAGCTACCCTTTTGCACCAAGCTTCACCTTTAGCAAATAAAACTTCAGTGCTGAAGTACAGCATCGCTGACGAAGCGCTATTCTAAGCCAGCGGAGGTATTTTTAATCACACAGACAACAGCCGCACAGAGCACATCAATTATTCAGCAGAGATGCACGACTACAGCAGCCCCGGCCCCGCTCAGACAAACGATGGCAGGCAGAGCCGCCGCCCCCAGCCCGGGGCAGCTGCGCGAGAGCCGCCGCTGCGGGGAGGCGCCCAGGGGCTCACCGGTACTTCTTGAAGAGCTGGTCGGACTCGCGGAAGCCGTTGTTGAGCAGCATGTTGATACCGGCCAGCGCCAGCTCCGAGTCCTCGATGGGCAACGGAGCTTCCCCGTCCTCCCGCCGCGCCGGCGGCTGCTCCGAGCCGGCCATAAGGGCGAGGGGGCAGCGGGACGCGGCCGGCTCTGTCCTTTCCTTGTCTCTACCGCGGAGGAAGGCGCCGGGTGCCCGCGGCCGGGCCGCGTCCCGTCAGCAGCCCTCCCGCGCTGCAGAGACGCGGAGCCGCCTCGCGCCCGTAGCCCTCGGAACGCGGCGGCGCCCGCCTCGCTCCGCACCGCGCAGGCGCCGAGGGGACCGCGCATGCGCCTCGGCGGCCGGCGGGCCGAGGGTGGTAGCGGGCGGGGGGTCGGATCCGCCCGCGGCTGCGCTGGGTGGACGAGGGATGAGGCGGGGGAGGGGTTGTGCGGAGCCGGCGGGCTTTGGGAGTTGCTGTGGGGGGTTGTGGGTTTGTTGAGGAGGTCTAGAAGCCTCTGGGTCCTCTGAAGAGAGGAAGCTCCGTCGGTTGAGAGTGACCAGGTGAGGAGGATGACGTTGGGATTCCGCCTCGTAGCAAGGTCTGCCGCCCTCATATGGCCGCTGCCCCTCCTCTGACCCCCAGCGGGTGCTGATGCAAGCTTGGAGGGAGTTCTTTTGTGGAGCTCTTTCCATACACACACACGTACATGTGTGTATTTTTACCTTTTCTTTCTTTCCTCAGTTGCTGCAGCGTTACCCCCAGCTGCACTGCCCTCCTCATAGGCAAACAGCAAATAGATGTGAGGGTTTCCACAGGATCCGCTAGGTTTTTCCTTTGGTGTGAAAGTAATGAAGACCTCTCCTAACGTGCCTTTCCTTTCGCAGGGAAAATAGCCTTTTTCTTCTTCTTTTTTTTTTTTTTTTTTCTTTTTCATTTTTGAGTAGCGATTTTAATTAGTGGCAGCATTCACTCAAGCAGTGACTGCAGTTGCTTGTTTCTAGAGCAGTGCTTTTGACTCTCCCAGCCTAAGCCCAACAGGTTTGGGGTATTTTTTCCCTGCCCCTCAACACCTGTATTAGCTGTAATGTGAAGCTGCCCATGGAGCGGGCAGCAATAATCACAGCGTTTTGCAAGTTGTCTTCAGCCTACTTTTGCACATTGTCCCAAACAATGGATGTGTGAGAATGTACACCTGCAAAAATAGATCCATTCCAGCTCCAAAGAGCCAAGTACCTGGACTGAAAATTCACCCGTGATATTTTCACCGCCCTTTGCAGGAACAACGATTTCTTTATTGTGCTTAAATAAATTTAGGTAGAGACAAAGGCTATTGCCTACAGCCTGGTCTTGCTCCTGCCAGCTAGGGCAATGCTACAGCTCAGCTGCTCTTGTGAAAATTGACGTATCACTCTTTTTTTTTTCTTTTCTTCCTCACTAAAATACAAAAGAATGGGACCACAGACTATTTTTAGAACCAACCCCTCCTCCCTGTCAAGAAAAACATCTTTTTCCTGTGAATCAAGTAGCAGTATTTCTGTACCACACTTCCTGTGGGAATAGCTACCATCACCTAGGAAAATGTTCTGTACCCAATCCCTCCTGGAAAGGTGCTTTTTGAAAAGTGAGGGATGTGTAATGCTGGGAGCCTTCTGAAATCTGCCAGGTACTAATCAGGTGCTTTGGCTGATTCCCAGCTCCTCCGAGCAAAGCTTGATACTCAGGTGGTTTAAATAGAGCATGCCTTCTGTTACACTGCACATCTACCAAAGAGCATCTCCAAGGCTTTTGGGAAGTCAGCACAGAGGGTGTGGGGAACCACAAGCTCTCCCGTGCATTTATTTCTCATCTGTGAAAGTTGGCCTCCCGTATTCAAACAGCCTCATAAGAAGGAAGTCGCAGCTTGCAGTTTACTCACTGTTTCAGCTGTTGGGCACTGCATTGCAGATAACCATATAGGAGTAATTCTTTTTTTTTTAAATTATTTATTTTTATCTCCCATGCAGGATTTTGTGGGCAAGGAGTGGTTTATATTTTGATTTCCCTTAGCAATATACAATCAGTTTGGCCAGGAAGCAATGAATCTGGTGGGTTCCCTGAGAATCAGGGATAGAGGATGCAAACTCCTACCTCTGAGTACTATTTCTGTAGAGCAGTGATGAGCCAAGTCCTTTGTGAAACACCTGCTTATTTCCAAAGCTAGACCCTATTTCCTTGCCCCCCTGGCTGAGTAATAGTGTAGTGGATCTGTGTGCTCTCCACAGGTTTTTTGTTCTGCAGGGTTCTTGCACTAAGGAGCAAGAATTCTTTGAGGTTTTCCTTCTAGCACCCAGACTGCGTTCAGGCAAGGCAATGATCATGTTTTCTGTTACATATGCTTTTATAACTCTTTGGTAGATAGCTATTCATTTTGAAACACCAGTTGTGAGTATTTAAATCAAGTCTCCAGAAACATGGCTCTAAATCTGTGGAAGAACTGGGCAGAATAGTTCTGTATTTCAGCTGCTCTGGTAGAAAAGTAACATATGTAAACATCACTAATGAAGCAGTGTGACACCTGCAGTTTGCATGTAAGAACTTAGCAACAGCAGTCTTATAGTGCCCATATTGTTATGGACTGCATTAGAACTGCATTTTTTGGAAGAACTTGATTAGAAACCAGCAGGGCTGTATGTCTGCCAAGTATCAGCAGACGAGGTCTTGTGATGGGTTACCGTTAGTTTTATTCATGCAGGATGTGGTACTGCTGATTCAGCCTACCAAGAACGGTCTGGGGAGCACAGAAATAAACAGAGTGACATGTATTACTTGTACTGGCTGACCTAGGTTGATATGTACTTCCCAATATCAACACTATAGACATCTTTGTTGTTATATACATATATTTTAATCTCTGACAGCATAGCATTATCAGTGTGATAGGTGCACACAAGAATGTCAGCCAGTAATTTCAGGAGAGGTTCAACCAGTGACCAATTTTCCACTTACCCCACAGCTCAATGCAGTTCAGCATTGGATAATCTATGTTACTGTTATCTCTCTTATATAAAGAGATTGAGCAAATTGGTTTGTAATCACTGAAGGACAATACAGTGAGTTAATGATGGAGAGCAAGAACTGTACTGTAAATAAATTAATTGGTCCAAAATCTCTAAGATCTTTACTCTGTTTTTCTTAGCACTTGTTAAAGAGATAAAAGGCAAAGTAGCTACAGTTTTTGCATTCTGTACGAGATGAAAATGTAGTGTTTTTATAGTGCCTTTGCAGGATGATGTTGTTGTAGTTCAATATTGTCTGTACCTTTGGACACTAAATTTCTCTCCCAAGCTTCTGACCTGTCTTTGTGCTTCTGACAGGGAAAATTCCTACAGTCATCATCTTTATAAAATCCCTGAGTTAAGAACTTTTTCAGCAATATTTTTCCTCCATAAGTCTAACTGGAATTTAACACTACTATAAATTCCATGAGTCACAGAGAATGGCAAAAATGGTAGTAAGAGAGAATCAATTATTAAAGAAAGCATAAAGATTTATCTACAGCATCTGAGAGAAGGAGTTAGAAACAAGAAAGTCCTATGGTAATATTTTTTTGAGTTTCATTTCTTCACTCTATAAATTAAATCCCATTTGTCCCAGGGCCCTTCTCCAGTGTGTCTGGGTGAGGCAATGCAACCCCTTGCTGCTTGCTCAGACTGCCCTAAATCTGATTTTGCTGGGTTTCTTTCTGCCTGTTTTGTTCCAAAATTCTGAATCTATTCTGGAACACCTCAGTAAGCCTGGTTCAACTTACACTTCTTAAGATAGAGATAAAATGTCAGCATTGAATTTGGAATATTTGATCACTAGCACTTAAGCAAGAGCCACTGTTCATTTAAGTAAAGGGAAGTAAAATCTTGCAGGATTGCATTAGCATTTCTTCTGCAGTGCAGAAAGCCTGACTGTATATGCATATAAAGTGTGGAAAATACTAGTGAAAATCTTCAGATTCTCCCACATTTTTTCAGCTTCTAATACAAGCCTGCAGAGACAGCTGCTGTAATTTTGAATTCCTTTGGAAGATGTGCCATTCCAGTTAAATATCAGGTGATACCCACTGCTAATTATGCAGGGGTGTAGGAATCAAGATGTAGCTCTCTATTCTGCACCTGCTGTTGGAAGGACTGCTCTCTATGTCAAGCTGGACTTGAGGACTCAAGCTGGTGAATACACAAAAGTGAGTATCCTCCCTTTTTGAATATATTGTATTTTGTAAGGAAAAGAATATCAAGATTCTTAAGTACATTTCTAAGGAAATGTAATTTTCAAGCAGCCAGAGCCACTTGTTCTTGTGCTTTGTGTCTCAGACTGTAGCAGTGGGTCTCAATAATGAAGGTTTCTGCCTGTTGTGTCTCATCGCTTCAATATTAATGAGTGGTGAGCTCTACATCTGTTATCATCACGCATTTTCCACACAGAGCAGCAACTAAGCAATACTACAAAGCTAAGCCAATCTTCAGAGCTTTCTCTTTGTATTTTCCTATTAACGTCTATTGCCATTTTAAGGGCTAAACCCCTACCTAAGGACATGCATTGAAATGACCATCTCTTCTGTCAATAAATAGAGGCCATGCATACATCTCCCAGTAAAACACACTTCATGAGCCTCTTCATCCACATTATTCCAGGGGTACTGAAATTGAGTCTCTTGACTCTTTCCTCTGATTAAAGAGTGTTACAACAGTAGCAGTTAAAAGAACAATTTCTGCTTGTGGGAGAGGATTTTAGTCCAGAATCTACTACTCCTTCCTCTCATAAACTTTCGGTTTTTCTTGCTTATTTTTCATAGGCAGCCCTTCCTTTATTGAGAACTACCAGCTGAAAAGCAACCGATCCCTCTGTCCTGTTCTCTTGAGCATTCGTTTGTGGCTGCTCTTTTCTGTTTCCTCAGAACATGCAGTCTGTAACCGTGGCAGTTTTGCACCGAGAAGTCATGGGGATGGCTGGGTCAGAGGACATAAAGTACCTGTAAAGTCAAAAGGAAAGTGAAACGTGAGATGGAGCAAGTAAGAGCATTTCTAACCATTATTAGCTGGTGCTGCTGCTCAGTTTTTGCTGTTTTGTTGGTGGTGGTAGTTAATGTTTTGATTATATTTGATAATGTTTCTTTTTATCCACACATACAGTTGCTCTAGACTGAATAATCAGTCACATAATGAGATGAGTTCGTGTGCGGTCACAGAGTTATTTTCATTCGAGCATATGAAGGTGTGTAATTTTTGCTATATAAAATCTGCTAAGTGGCAGGGCATTTCGGTGTGTTGCTTATTTTATCCTTCAGAATTTGCTAATCACCAAGCATATGCACACAGTTCCAGAGAAAACAAAGGAATGCAAAAGTATTAAATACTTACAGCTGCTCTGCTGAGGCAGCAGCCACATGCTGGCCTGTTGTATGAGAATTAATTGGAAAAGCTTCTACACAAAATAATCATCATCTGACTTGAATTTTAAGAGCCAATTTAGGATGTCTTACTTTTGGAGAAATAACTTCTTACAGGCTTCAGAGCTACATTTGATTGCAAAAATATCTGCTCAATCAGACACTCCAGAGGGAGTGAAATACAAAGAATAAAGTGATTACCAGAAATCAACTAATTCTTGTCCGGCCCTTTCTTGGGAGTCAAAATGAGTTCATGTAGGTCATAACAGACAAATCTTTCTCTAAATGTCCTTGAAGTACTTTCACTATTGAGAGTCTGCAAATTAGATTTCCCTCTTGTTCTCCCTCCAGTGAGCACTGAAAACAATTGATCACATCTTTGCTACAGAAGAGGGATAAGAGCAAATGAAAACTGGTGAGCTCGGTGACTTGGTGTAGGAGAGGGAGAGGTAGGCTGCCCATACTGGGATATATAAACATTATTTGTTCCATACAATATTGTTGGTTTGATACTGTGGGAACTTGGTTGGGTTCCTATGAATGTTTCTTGTTTTAGAACAAATAACAAAGCCATTCACCCTGATCTTTTGCAAGCAGGACATAAATCTTAAACATCTAATCATTTTTGCTGCTCTGCTTTGGAGGTTCCCTCCAGTCTTCCTGCATTTCTTGTTTGTGCATGAAGCCTCTTCTAAGCTCTGACACATTCGAAAAGGAGTTATCTCAATATATTCCCTTGTATGTGTGTATATACACTACACTATGTTTGTAGTGTTCACAAACAAGTCATTTGCCCAGTTACTGAGGATGGGCCTTTGTGCTTTCAAATTTAGGTTGAAAAATGAGTAGTCACCAAGGTCACAGATATCCTGTAGCAAACGTAGCAGCCTTGGTAAATGCCCTTTGTGCTGGTACTCCTCTTAGTCTCTGTAATTTAGAAATCAGAAATCCTAGTAGAGTATATTTTTAAGTATTTAGAATGAAATGACATCTTGCTAAGGCATATTTTTCTTGTAGTAGTTTAGCAGTAAATATTTTTTTCAAAGGTGTCAAGCTGCTCGATGCATATTGCAATTTGAAATGAGATTGTCTAAAGGTTACTTGTCAGCAACGTTCTTACGTTTCTACTTTTGTTTGGAACTTTTGGCATTACATGCACTTTATATTTAGCATCTTAACACATTTTCCACTTGCTTATTCCTCAGTCCTTCACTGCAAAAGTAGAATGGCCTCTGTTGGGTTACAGAGGTGTTATTCTGGTCATGTTAGACTTCAGGGTTGTTTTTCAGTTTTGAAATCTGCAGTCCCTTTAACTCACCTTTCTGAGAGCAGGGAATATTTGGTTAAAAATCCTAATGAGGAAAAATCAGTAGACCCCATTGACAACAACCTTATTGTGACACAAAACACAGATTTATGTAGGCAGGTTGTTGTTTCTTATGCGTAGATACATCATCCAGGTCTTTTTATTGAGAGGTAGTCAGGTAGTCACAACTGCCATGACCAGTTCTTGAGGTAAAGAGAAAACGTGAAGGAGAGACCAGCTGCCATTTGGCTGTGAAAATCACCAGGAGCTCAGCTTGTGAAGAAGGCATATGAAGGAGCTGAGGTAGAACTTTGAATCTCCTGGCATTAGGGAAAATTGCAAAGTGTGGATTCCTGTGCAGATGTCCTCCTTCAGTTGCATTTTCAGTTTCTTTTTGCTGTAGGTTTTGTAGGTTCCACTTCAAGATCACGCAAACCATGGCCACCTGAAAGTTACCTTGTGTCACTTGCAACAAGGAAACCTTGCTCTTTCATCAAGTCACTTAAGTTCGCTGCGAACGGGTTCTCTTATCTATTGTAATGTGTGATAACTTTGTAACGTCTGTGCTTCAGTACTGGTGCCGTAAGATTCAGCAGTCTGCAACCACCTCAGACAAAAGCATCTTGACTGTAACTGGAACAGACCACGGAGATTACATTCATTTCAGCAGCCCTGCCAGCAATGTATATGCCTACAAAGATGGCGAGCTTCTTCCCCTGTATATGTGCTCTGTTAGCTACTGATGTCTTTGCCCCTGATTATTTCAGTTCCTTATGTTTTCAGAGTTTAATCCTGTCTCCTGGAACACAGTGCTCTGTTCTTTACAAAACTCTTCTCCGAGGCTTGCACACACAGACATGGCAACTGGCTTTTAAAAGAGGCAGTATGATCTACAGCATGCATCATAAGACAGAAAAAAAGCCAGAAAAGCATATTGAGAGACAGATGCTACCCCAGATATCAGAATTTTTATTTCTGGATAGTAACTTCTCATCTGCAAAACCTGGGCTTTGGTCTGAACACTTCTGCTTCTCTCAAGAACACATGACTAGTTGTACCATTAATTAGAGGATGCAAGAAAAGTCATCTATTTGTATAAACTTACAGCAAAGAGATCATCTTCTATTAAGTATATATTCAAACAGTATGTCTATTTATATACACTCAGGCTACAGCGTTCTCTAGAGAAAACAGCTTAGGTAGATGTGTGCTCACATCGTTTTTATTCTACTAGTTTTTCTTTCATAAATATTTGATTAAATTCATGCAACATTCTTCCCATTTTGATGTGCAAAACTATAAAGCAGACATTAAAGTATGTATTTGTTGTTTGAAGATATTATTTTTGGCACCTGGCATTTAATTTGAAATAGAATTTGAGAATCTAGAAGCTGATGTTTGACTGGCTTGATTGTGAGTTCCAAAGGGAAATTAAGCAGAACCAAGTGTTACTTGGTACTTAATGAAATCAGCAGAAGCATACCATTGACTAAGGGTCTGTTCTCTAAAATAAAGTGATTTCTCCCTTGTTTATCATTAGATTTTTCCATTCTTCCACTTCTGGAAACACAGGCTGTTTGTTTGGAATACACTCTCTGTCCCATCTGGTTTGTAATATGTTCCTATTTGGGCATTTGTCAGTCAAGGGAAGTATGTGAGTTAACAAACATTTCTGTGAGTGAAACATTCTTGTGAACAACGCCTGTCAGAATGTGGGTAGCAGAAGTGGCACATAGAGCATGTGCTCAGCAAGAGAAACGCTGCATTGCAGATAAAGGGAAATGGCAACGTCAAGACTCTGTGTGCATCTAATGGCAATCACAACAGGGACTTGCAGATCTTAACGTGCCACAGAGTTCTGATGAAAATAACAGCAGAATCAGCAGAATGACAAACGTAATACCCTCCTTTAATTATTATCATTTTTTTAGTGTATTTGGATTTTGAAAGCGTTCCTGCCCTTAAACAGCACAGTGCCTTTTAAAGCCATGTATGAAGTGACTTGTTCTGTACTGACTCACTATTTATTCTTCTACCAGCAGTGTTTTGTGAAGCTGAGAGCTACCAACCATGTAAGTACCTTAAGCTGTGTTGCGTAATTTTAGCTATTATGAGTTATGCACAGCAATAACCAGAGTATTACAGTGAGAAAAGCTATGCTTTTACTACAGGCCATTTTTTCCCTTGTTCCTCTTGCAGACATAGCACAAGAAGAAATCATCTTTCTTTTTTTTTTTCAGTGCACTCTCCCTTTTTTCATTCCATTAGCATTTTTCTCAAATGCTTCCAGAAAACATTCCCCTTTTTATCCTTCCATTCCTTTCATTTATTAAGTCTTTCACTTACCTATTTTTAGAGGGTTGTAAGCACATGGAAATATATATTCTATCTCACATCTATTTTACATGCCTTTCACGTGGGGTTCAGCCAAATTTTCTCCATGGGTTCTCAAGCTTCAAATCATATAAAGCACAAAAGCAGTTCATATATACTACTTTCCTTGGTGTAAGGTTGAATTTGAGAAGATGCACATGAACCCATCTATCTCTGTGCCTGGCTCATCACAAAACCAGTACAGTCAATAGAGATTTCTTTCAGTGGTAGCACCAAGGCACTGAAAAATAAGAAGGTAGAGAAATGCTGGCAGACCTACTGCTATGGATCCAAGCACCAAATTAACATGAGGAACTGCAGCATCATAATACAGAGATGCCAGGAGCTGGCTGCACTTTATCTGGGTACCTCAATAATAGAAAGGACCAGCAACAAACGCATTTAGAATGACGTATCTTCCCTATAATTGGCAGTGAGAGATAATTCTTTCTGGCTTGTTCTTTTCTTCACTGTGGCCTGCTGACAACACTGTACAATGGCTTTTCTACAGCTAGGTAGCAAGGCAGTGCAATTATTAGTCCTGTAGTCAAGTGCTGCATTCTTCAGGGAATTTATTCAGTGAACTTCTTGCTGCTCCAGATGGATCCTTGGGAGATTGAAGCTGGGTTTGTTGCTGCCATGTCCTCGTATGGCTGCACGTTTTGGAGTGGAGTAACTAACTTCCCTTCACAGAGGTGATAGAAGGACAACTTGGGGTAGATACCCAATTTTTATGTAAATAGAATTGTGAGATGAATAACCATTCTCTGAAAACATTATGGGTCTTACTGAATTCAAGTAGATGTTGTATCACAAGTCCCAGTGCTACTGAGCAGTGTCATATCCACACAAGATCTTGTCTAGCCTTTCCATTTGTTTAAAATCAAGAAAGTCCACATATCTTGGAACTTTCTGTGGATCCCAGATAAAAAAATAATGAGTTAACCTATGCTAATAGTAAAAGTCTTAACATTTTTGTCTGGATTTGGTGGTGGAATGTGCTCTCATAAGCATAGATCTGCCTGAATTTCAGATGCATGTAACAGCGCCTGTTGGTGCCAGCCAGGCTGGTTTTATGCATTGCTGTTACAGGACATTCACAAGAGCCCCACATTGGCATTCCCCACTGAAACACAAAAGGCTTCATTTAATCTATATGAAAAGAAAAATGTTGTTTCCAGACAGGTCTTAATAAGTTTCTGAAGCTGCAGTTATACTTTCAAACGACTGCTTGACACCACATGGAATGATCACCATGGTCCAGACTGTGATACGATTCCATTGAGTCTAACCACTGCACAAGGCACAGCGGTGCCCTCAATCACATCCCAGTCCTTTTCTCTCCAACTCAGGACTGCCTTTGTCACAACCCATCCTATTAGTATGTTCTATTTTAGTATACAGATAAATTAAAAGATATAAAGCCAGAGGCTATAATTCAGGAATAGATGACGCAGTTTTTGGTTTTCACCAAACTAGAATTTAGTTGTGCTTTGTAAATGACACCAAATGCTATCTCTTGGTTGTAGCCCTGGGCATTTTCTATTCTGCCTGTCTAAAGAATGTGACTCTATTACCTGAGAAATCAGGGCACTTGTCCTAGGCTACAAAGTGCTGCCCACAACTCCATTGCCAGAGGGTTCTCTGGTAAGACAGACATCGTGCTTACACGATGGGATGATTTTAAAATGTCTTTCATAGGTCTGGAGTGGAAGCTCCAGGGTCAATGGAAGCTTCTTAGTAGATGAAAGGAGAAGAGAACCCAGCTTTTGCCAAGGGCGTCTGCTGAGATTCTCGAGCATAGAAGATACCAATGGTGGAAAGTGAGCAGTTGAATGGTACAATTGGGAACAAAACCAGCTCAGCTGGGAGGCAGGCAGAGGAATCTGGGTTTTGGCCACTTGTATCACGA